TCAGTACATAAACTGGGGGAAGCTGGCCGGGGGGGCCGCTGGTCAGGGACTGGCTGGGCATCGGTCGGCGGGTGGTGAGCAACTGCATTGTGCATCGCTGGCATCGTATATTATTATTATTATTATTACTACTACTTTGTTTTATTTCAATTATTAAACTGTTCTTATCTCAACCCACGAGTTTTCTCACTTTTACTCTTCCGATTCCCTCCCCCATCCCACCGGGGGAGGGGAGAGTGAGCAAGCGGCTGTGTGGTGCTCAGTTGCCGGCTTGAGGTTAAACCATGACATAGGGTTTTGTAACTTTCAAGGTAGCGTAGCTTCGTTCTTGGAAATGAAGGTCAGTGCTTCTGAATATGTGCCCGACTGAGCAAAGAACTTGTATTTTTGATGATGTCCTTAACACATGGCATTTATGTCCTAAAATATAGCATGTTACTTAGGATATTTTAAAATTAGTTTCTGAGGGTTTGCTATCTCTTCAGAAGTTCTTTTTCTTGCAAACTGGTGTTCTTTGACTGCACCAGTTGTATGTGTGGGTGCCTAACTACATTCATTTCATTCAGATTTCCACCTAACTTCTGAACCCGTTTGCCATTTCTACCACAAGACAGAGGTCTTCTAGTTTTTCAAAGAACCAGGCAGTCAGGTGGAGGAGAGAGATCCTCCTGGGCTCCTGCTGAGGGAACGGCTGCAGTCTCAGGTCAGCTGCCGGCAGGCACCGGAGCGTCTCCTGAAGGAGAGGCCACGGAAGTGCTCAGCCTGCTGGGAAGCTTTGCTCAGAACATGCGCCAAAACCGACCAACCTCCAGACCAATCCACTTCCTCTGCTCTTGTGCTTACAAATCTGCTGGTTGGTAAATCATCTGAAAAATTACTCCGAATGCTGTTTTTTGTATCAGAGGTTACGATAATTCAAAGCATGCCTATCATACTAACTATTCAGGACTTCCTTTCAGGAAAGGCTATAAAGCAGTTTGTTATATGCACCATGGCAGCACTGCCCATGCTAAATCCTGGCCCTTGGATGGCATCAATAGATTTACCGATGTAATCACTTCTGCAGACAGCCAGGCTGCATTTCAATCTAATGAATGTTCACGTTAACTGCCACGTGACGTTGAGATAAATCTGTTTGGTTCGTACTGGAAAAGTCTACTCCAATCGTATACCACTTGTCAGACTTATTTATTTTTTTTTTTTTAGAAATATCCCTCGCAATTTAAAACATGAAATTTCTACCATGAAATTATATAGCATTTCTATTATTTACTGAGGGAAGTTTAACAAGTTGCTTGCTTTCAGTATTTTATCTCCCTAGCAGAGTCTAAAACAATACATTCACAAATAAAACACCACCAGAGCCACTACTGCCGTATGTCCTCTACATACTGTATAACTCCAATCAAACAAAACAGGCAATGCCCATCAGATCAGGGTGTCTGAGTATGTGGGTATGTACCCGAAGAGAGACAGGGTAGGATTTTAAGAGTGCTGAGTAACCGCAACTCTAGATCAGTGAGCAAGGTCCAAAGACAAGACAACAGTCCAAACTGGGAAATGTGACATTGGGTATTGTTCGTTCAGATGCAAGTGCTATGGATAGCTAACCTTGTGAAGAGATCTATAGACAATAAAAACTGGCCTCCAAGACCAGAACTTTGTCCGGCTGACAGTTTCTTTTATTGCCAGCTCCAAAATGAAATCTTTGCAGAACAAAAAATGAAGAATTTCCATTGTAAAACATTATTGTTCCTTCCCTTTTTTCATTATTTGAGATTAAAAAGCTAAAAACATTCCTATACTAGCGTGAGACGAGTTTGAATTATATTCTGCATTTAAGTGTTTTAAGTAATACTGGGTGGCATATATAATCTAAATTTTCTTGACGCATTTTTAGGCTGAGAGGAACGCCACAGCATTCAAAGTCAGGACACTGCCTACATGTTGGGTTATACTACTATAAGAGATGGGTTCAATTAAAATTATCTGTAGACATAAATGAATTCTCAAGAGTTCTTGTCATCTTCATTATTTATCTAGGAAAACACTTAAATGGAAAATTTAAGGAAACAATGTGTTAAGCTAGGTGTATTCTCTTCATCTTTTCAGGTAAACTGACCTCAAACTCTCTAGGCATGTCTACGGTGCAGTTTTGAAAACCAAATGCACTGCACCACACAGCAGTGGAACCATAATGGATACAAAAGTCTGGCCCACACTATAGTTATCAGCCTTGCAGGGGATCCAGATAGAAATGACCTGGTTGTAATCCCCTTTAGATTCAAAAAGGTTTAGAGCAGACCAGTCTCCCTACTGATTGCCCCCATACCTTCAGATCACTGGCTTTCCAAAGCAAAGCTCTGCCGAACAGCTGGCCTACTACAGCCTTTGAAAATGATGGCTGCATTGTTAACCAGCACACTAGGATGTCTGTAGCTTCTCCTTCAGAAGTCCCAGAGGCCTTGCACGCTGTTTATATCCAGCTGATGCGGCAGCAAGTTCAGCTTCCACTCCCAAAGTTTTGCCGCTGCTGCCTGACTGCATCCTGCACAAGCTACGGCATCCCCAAGAAACTGCCTCCACTGAGCTCTCACAATTGTGAATCCAATTTCTTTATCGTCTCACGTCACCACAGCTACTGCATTGCCAGACATTTTATTTGGCTAATAAATTCCAAAGTAAAAATGGTAGTGACATGCTGTAAAAAGAAAAACAGTAAATCATGCGTAAAAGTTTTATACAGTACAACAGATCATTATTATTTCATCCTTTTCCTAACCCTTAAACTTTACACAATAACCACTCAGCAAGTGTGCCAGAATCTGAACGCAACAAAATACTTCAGACACAACGGACACGGGAGAGAAGCAGGGAGGCAGCTTAAAAAAAAAAAAAAAAGAAATTTTCGTTGGACAATGCAAGCTCTGTCCAAAGATCCAGCCTGTCACACACGCTGTACAGCCTGTCCTCTGATTCTGCTCTCAGCAAACAGCCCTCCCCTGGCCGTCTGCCCCGCGCGGTGCCAGCTCTGTTCCCAGGACACAGTCCTCCTACCAGTGTCACCGGGGGATGTGCTTCTCCTGCATAAGCTCCTTCCTGACTCTGACTGGTCCTGTGAACAGCCAATATTTTCTGCCTCGTTTCCACCTCCTACAGCTGAGGTTGTATCCACACAGCTGATTCTCCTGACTCGAGTACGGCACCACAGCTGCAAAGGTTGTGAAAAGATCTGTCACCTGTTATTCTTTCTGTTGATACCAGAAAAAACTGTCTGTATTATAATCAATTTCACCACAAGAAATAACATTTCTGAAGATGACTACTTAGTCACCATCTTCCACTTCGCTTCCTTACCCTGAAACAGGGTAAGCAGGTTTAACAAAGAACAAGCACTGTGAAAGAGCTTAATATAAGAAGTTGAAATACATCTTTTGTAAAACTTTCAAACCTATAATTTGTTTGGCTTGAAGGTAAAAAAAAAAACAACCCAGATACTGGGTTAGACTTAAGAAGGAGCTTTACAGAGCACAGGGGATACTTAGACACTACTTTGTATTTAACAATGGATACTATCCAGCTACGGTAAACCTACCTAGGACCCTTACGTCAGTCTAGTCTTTGCACAAACCGTATGAAAGCTGGGTCAAGGTTTGTTTGGAAAGTTTGTACATGCCAACCAGGAGGGCACGCAACTTTTGAAACTTAACGACTCAAGCAGCATTTCAAGTATGAAGAACTAGGTATGATTCTCCACTGTAGGACCACATCTCTTGAAGTCGTGCACAAATCATTACTAAATCAGAACAGCCGTGCTTTATTTTGCTGAGATACCATTAACACAACTAGAAGAGCATACACAAACCATGGTTCTTTCTGTTGCATATCAGAATGATAGTCAAGTTACCGTATTAACTGGATGGCTTTTGGAGCTACCATACTGCAGGCAGTATGTCGGTAGTAGATAAAATGCATTAAAACTTTTATATGGGGATTTTGTAACTGATCTGTTGCCCTTAAACTAAAGGCCTCAGATTTTTTTCTCCACTGAGAACAGATTAATATGAGAACTTTTGGGGCAGCACTCATCCTGCTCTTCAGTGAGCTCTGGGCCATGACTCATTTGGCAATACCTCCATCTTCATAAAAAACAATAGCTACTGTATCCTTAAAAGTCCAACTAATAATCACACCTTTGTTCTGTGCTGATAAGTGATTACCAAAACCATATTATTTATGTCCAATGTCTTTTGATCCAAGGCTTCCCTGAACACAAACTGTACCAGGGGAAGCCAACGTAAAACCCAGTCAGCTAAGCCACTTTGGCATTGTCTTGCTGACTCCTGATTGACATGTCCATTGCTGATTTGTCATTACTAATGACAGGTTTATAGGCAATTGTTTCCAGCTCCTTCAGTGTCTCACAGCAAGAGTCTCACAGCAAGAGGAAGAGGGCAGCAGCCTCCCCCTGCAGAGCACAGCGCTGTGCTGTGGGAGACAGGGCAGGGCCCCGGAGCCCCCGCCCGCCATGGCTTTTGTGCTGGCTGGCAGGACGTGGTGGAGAAAGAGCTGCAGGGTTCTAGCCTGGGGGTGACCAAACCCCACTTCACTCCAGCCCCCGGCAGCCAGCTGCCCCACAGCCTGGGGCAGCCCAGGTGCCCTGCCCTGCCCTACCCCAGGCTGCCTCTGCTGCCACATGGCTCCACCTCTACAGCTTGAAGTGCCGTGGCAACCTTTCAAGATTAAGCATTTGAAATGCAATAACCAACATTTAAAAGGGGAAAACAAATTTGGTGCTCTCCATGTCATTGCTTCCTCTACTTGTGATTTTGCTTGGATGACTTGTTTTGGTTACCATGATAATTATGAATTTCAGTCCTATCCTATAATAGCATTGTAACATTTACAGTTCATTTTCTCCTCTACATAGAGAGCACTTAATCCAGGTTTTTAATAAGGAAACTTCTGGCTGTGCAAGAAATGAACTGGAAGCCCTGGGGAAAACTTTGCTATATCACTTCTGTAGTTTATTTTCTCTTTATATAGTCCAAACATCACACATTCCAGCTACAAACTTAAATGCAGAAAATGAAAGTGTATTTTCAAACATTATAAACTTTTAGTATCAGAGTAAACCAGTTGGATGAATACAAATCAGTAAGCAATCACTTATTGACATACATATTAATAAAGCCAACTGATTAGGTTCTATTAACGGTATGTCATTGCTATTTTTATTTTCACCTAATTCCATTTTGTACTGATAATAAGGAATCTCTATACAGCAGTAATTCTGTTCTGGTCTTATTAGCCTCCCCCCAAACCGGTCAGACTGTAGATCTCAGAACAATGCCCTCCCCCTTTAAGAAACCCTGCACAACCTCAAGAAGCAACTATGGTCCCTAGAAAGATCTATTGTGCTGAGAAAGAGTAAGGCATCTGCTTCCTCATCCCAATTCCTCAGCCCTCCCAGAAGGGCGGGCAATGATTTAATTAAGAGTAAGTTCAGGTAAACAAGGTCAGGCACCTCTGCATTAGGGCAACACCAAATTAGCCTGTACCATCTGGGCTGGAACACCCACAAATCAGATTTTGGGCTACGGAGTCAATGCTGTGAGCAGGCTAATGGAGACTATTGGGAAGGGTACCCTAGTGTAGACTTAATCCCAGAGGAGTACCGTAACTGTAGCCCTCATTGCAATGATAAAGGACCCTGCTGCTGCTGTGGACAGGATGAGACTGCTCGGGGTAAATGCCCTACCAGAGCACAGGCTAATCCACAGTCATATTACCGCTTGCACGGGTCCACATACATAAGCTCACCAGGTTCGAACAGTTTTGTTGCTAAGAAACTGACCATGAGGACCATCAGCATCAGAAGGCAAAAGGGCCAAATAAACTGGGGTCTCAGCCCCTTCATCTGGCGTTTTAGTGGCTTGAGGCCCTGCCATGTCTGTTCTCACCCATCCAGGACAGCAGGCATTGAGAAGGATGTGGTCACCTTTTCTTTTCTCATTTAACATCCTGGCTTGAATCCTGGACAAGACTGTGACACCAATTTTGGATACCCCATAGGCAGTATTTGGCCAACCCTCTTTCTCATGCACACTTTTCTTGGTATCTTCCACAAATTTGGTCATGAGTTCCACTAACTCATCCTCAGTGATCGTGTTGCTGCGAAACTTTTGCTGTAGTTCTCGGCTGCAGCCTCCCAGAGCTGAGCTACTTACCATACTAGAGACATTCACCACTCTACCTGGTAAAAGAGAATAAAGGCTGATTACTTTTACACACGTTAAACAAGCCCAGACACTGAAGTGAGCTTGCTCTACAGTTATGTATTCACTACTTAGGTGAATACCCGTAAAATATTTTGTGGAGGCTATTTTGCAGAGCTTCTGGAAGATCACAGTTAACTCAATGTCAAGTGTTTCTAGTGAATTCCATTACAGAGGTAATTTAAGGTGTGAACCTGCAAAAGCTCTCTATCGAACTTCAGGTATTCTCCCAGGAAATAGCCTGTTACAATCTGTAGGCATAGTCATAGTAGTAAGTGGCTTTCTCAGTAATGGCAGCCAGACTTTACTCTCAAAGTTCTGGTCGAAAAAGTTTTCACTTCTGCAACAGCTTGAGTAAAGTGCCTTGAGAATGCACCTCAAAAGCCAGAATAATAGAGAATTCACCAAAAGCAATCTAGTTCTTAATGCAGCGAGACCATCAGCTTGTTTACAGAATACCTGATGATTTACAAATCCCAGCATGCAAAACTGCAGTAAGCTATTTATCTCCCAGCACTTCAGTACAGAGGAATGAGTCAGCTGAATCAGTAATTCACTCGTCTTCCCCAAAATTATGTTACACTGTTTCCCTCTTTCTTGCTAGTTCACAGCCATTCCGGTGATGAACTAGGGAATGCACATGAGGATTTAGATCTTAAAAGCCACAGAAATTAATCCTTTCTGTTAATGACTTTATTAACACATTTGCCCTTCACTCGTAGTACAAGAGGGCTAAATTGCAATTTTGGCACTGTTTACTCTCTCCCCTACCAGCCCCCCAAATTAATTTGCTCTATCCTTCCCTTCCTCCCTAAGGACTAACAGTTCCCAACTTCCCTCTCATCTACTCGACTTTTCTCTTAAAAACCTAGACATATTTAGATGTTGGTATAGACAACATTTCATTCATAGCAGCAAGCACTTATCCAAATATCCATGAAAATATCTAGTGATCACAAGTCTTGAAACAATTGAATTAAAAAAAAAAAACACCACCTTTGACAACATTTCATTCATAGCAGCAAGCACTTATCCAAATATCCATGAAAATATCTAGTGATCACAAGTCTTGAAACAATTGAATTAAAAAAAAAAAAAACACCACCTTAGATTTGGTGTGGGTATTGGATCCAAATAACCTCCTTTCAAATCATCCGTGATATCTCAGTAGCATTCCAGGGCACTTCCAGTGCTCCTGGGTTTCAAGAACAGGAGCATTTTGTGCAGGACAGCCATCCAACGAGTACAGATTATTTGCATGTTGCTAACACCTCTTTATTATCGATGCATCTATTTTTTGACCCTGGTCCATTCTATTCACCATTTTTGGTAAAGTGTTTTCTTCCAGTTCCTCCTAACACGACCAAATCACAGTAACTTAATGTACATGTCAAGTGCCATTTATAACTACATCACTAGACACTTGCACATACAGCAAAGGCTGTGATCAGACAGACCAACAGCCTCTTGAGAAGGTTTCTTCAGCAGTAGCAAGAACAGGCATGTCACATCAAACTCAGCCAAAACGCTGTTTTTAGGTACTTCCTTATCCTAGTTGTATCATCTAAAGGTCCTTTCTGAAGCAGTAACAATTTATGTAGGCAGATATCATGGACAGAACATGGGTAAGTTCTTCACGTCTTCTTGAGGGCACCATGAGAATTCCACTTCAATCCATAACAGAAGAGTGTGACCGGCTTGAAGGTAGATGCAAATATACACAGTAGACACATTTTGGGGTCATGAAAGGCCATCTGTTTTCTTACCTACAGTACAGCAAGGTGCACTCCTCTTGCTATGGGGCACTGTGCTTCTGAGACAGGACAGGATTCTCCCATTTAACGAGGACCAAGATTCATATAAAACTATTTCTCTACTTGTTATGTTACACTTACCATAAGGCTTCACAAGAGGCAACAATTCTGTGCAAACATTCCTGGTTCCAAAAAAGTTTGTCTTCAGTGTAACCTCTGCTTGGACCGCAAATGGCGTTGTGTCATGAACTTTTCATAAGAGGTGGTAGCAAGGGAGAGGGGGGGGAAAAAAAAAAAAAAAAAAAATCAGAATTGTACTACTGTTTGAAAGGAAGTTACCAAAATTTTGGGTTTTGGTAGTTTATCTTAGTTCCTTCTTTTTTTTGATAATTAGGAAACAGGCATATGATCAATTAAAATACATAAGAAAAAAAAGGCAACATCACTAACACTCACATTCTTATTAATGAAAAGATCCAGCTCTGCAATATTATAATAATGAGCTAGTTATGTTTTCACCTCTCCTTAGCTGAAGGCTTTAGCTTTGCCCCAGGAGAGTCAGTTGTATCACTCCGCAGAGTCATTTGCCAACCCACAGGCCATTTGTCTTTCTGCCTTTTATATGGAAGAGACAAGGAAAGACTGCTCTCACAGGGTGTGCTGCTCAACCTGCCTACTGACCTGCCTGTACTTACTCACACCCAGTGCTCAGTCTGGGCTGCCACTACCACATGCAAGTAAACTTTGAGGTGCCCTCTCCTCTTAAATGCATAGCACAGCACTTTGCCACCATCCTGAGATACCAGGGGAGGGGAGGGAGCAGGGGGGAAATCAGAAGGGAAGATCCTGAATCTAGGATGCTGCCAATGAAGATGCAAAAGTTAGAGTCTACCACCCTGGTACTAACATCCAACAACATGGCAGACAACTGCTTCTATATCCTGACTCTTACGTTGTCATGTCTTGGGTTCTTAGCTGGGACTTGAAGTCAGAGCAGTGCCAAATTGCAACAAGCACTGTAAAAGCTTCTAAAAAGAATGCAGGGGTAAGATTTGGTGCAGACTGAAAAAACAAACCAACCAACCCCAAACAACCCCAAAACTGATAAATACTTGCGTCATAAATCACCCCCTGAACTGACAGATCTGTGCTAACACAAGCAAAAGAGTGGGAAGTAGCAGCTAGGAAAGGGAGCTGATTTAGGTAAGCATAAGCAGACCATGGAACTGCACCGTAAGGGTATGATTTCATCAGACAGAATTGACAGCTTGCCACCACCAAAAGTGGGTAGGATGTGCCATCAGCTGACAATTTGGTTCAGCAATAAGCTATATGCTATGTGTCCTCCATTTTGAGGGGGAACTAAGAGTTAAAGTAACAGTATTCCTTCTCTTCTGCTATTTTGAGGGGGAACTAAGAGTTAAAGTAAGAGTATTCCTTCTCTTCTGCTACAGGCTCTATCTCTGCAGTGATGAGGGCTACCTACATAGATTAGGCAGGTCTTCACTTGTCTCCACAGCCCAGACCTATGTAAACTCAAAAGAGAACCAGTAACAGGTCATTTAGTATTTAATGTAGTTGTGTTTTTATTGCAAAACACAGCTTTAATGGCCGACTTATTTATACTCTCAAACAACGGGCACCGATGGCATCAAGTTTTGCAAATCACTTGCTTGCATTTAAATCTGAGACATGAAGCCAGACTGTGAGCTATTGCAAGAGTTATGACAGTGAGAGAAGAAAAGAAACTGAAAACCTACACAACTCCAAACTCCTGCTTCCATACCCACCTTGCAAGAGGGAAGCTTCCCTACACTCCAAAACCCACTCATTTGTCTAACAAGATGTATTACTTGTAACATCTGATAGATATACACTCCCTTGATTTAACAAGCATTACTAGAATGACTGTTCTTAGAGAAGCTCATCCAGAAGGCAACCCACGGGTACATAATAATTACACACATGAACAGTTTTTGCTGGACTAAGGACTTTGCTGGACTATCTGTAGTGCAGCACAAAAACTGAACAATAAATTAAATTTAATGGTAAATCTAATCTTTGACAGACAGCAATGACACACAGTACTACAATAAAGAAAGGAAAGCATAAATTCTGGGATGGTAGCAGAAACCTGGCAAGGCAAGAGGCAAGCTTGGGTAGAAACGCCAATCCCAGAAGTGAGAATAAAAGGCAAAATATGAGATAAGCATCACAGCAAGTTCTTACACAGGTGTTAAATCGTCTAGCCTCTGTGCTAGATACTTGCACAACAACAGTTACAACTGGCTCCTCTATCACATTTCTTAATTGTATGACCTACTGCTGACTCATAGCAAGTTGTCAGCTTGGAGAAAGTCTAAGCTAAACATCTGGAAGCAACTTCTGAATAAAAAAAAAAAAATCTACGACATAGTAAAGAAAGTAACAGAAACTCCACTGGTCACACTGTTTTACCCATTTATCTGTTCAGTGGCTCCACAATGATAAATCTAAGATCTCTCACATATGAGCTCTAGCAAATCTTGCTGCAGCAATTTGAGGAGCTTTTATTTCACCTGTCCAGGTACCCACCTTGATGGAGGCTACAGCTGCTGCAAAGTCAGCAACAGGAAAAACACACTGCACTTCAACTGCTGTAGTTGCAGCCCAGTCTTGCTCAAACTCACTGTCACTAGTAGGTTGAGCTAAGGCCCTGATTGTTAATTGAAGAAATACTGCTCTGAGCACCTGCAGGCTTTATAAATGATATGCATGGACGGAGATACAATCTTAGAAACGTGTTAAAACCTTGCAGCAACAGTTCAATCTCGAGCACATCCTGAAGCTCAGACAATTATATTGAGTTGCCTCCTATTAAGCTGATCTTGAACACAAGCAATCTTCCTGAAAAATACCATGCAAAATATACAGTGACTGGACTTCAGAACACCATTGCTGCACTCCCACTACATGAGAAACTCCATCTTCAGCAGCAGGTGAGATTTGATCCATACTACATGACAGGCCTCCTTAACTCATGCTGTGAGCAGATGAGTCAGCACAACACTGTGCTTGAACAGTTACATGTCCTAACTGGAGATCAGGCAAGGAGATTTAAAAAAAAAAAAAACACAACAAAAAACCAAAAAACCAGAAAATATGGAAAGAACAAGTTTGTACTGGCAGGGAAATGAACTAGTAGTCATGCTTGTGATTTGCTCTACCTGGAGCTAACATGATTCTCAACTTGTTTTTATAAATACCTACAAGGAGAATGCACTCTTCTGCCTTACAACTGCTGTGTCTTCCTCACTTTCCCTGCCTTCCTGTCCACTAGAAGATGAAAGGGTTAAGTTCTTGCTCAGCACAGCAAGATTTAGGTTAACTGTTCTATAGGTGACTGAATGGCCTGAGAAAGTTAAAGATAAGTAAAGATGACAAAATCACTGAGGGCCAAAGGTTTTTTTTTATCAGCTGGAATCCTTGACCAGGTAATGCATACAACAGGCTTGCAGAAGAGAGAAAACACAGATCCCCGAGGAACACGGCTGATATTCACACAGATGATGGACTCCCATGGGCCTGGTGAAACTCATGGGCACTGAGGCAATAAACCCAACTCTGCTCACATGTACTGTCTGCCTCAAGTATTTTCATTCTCTGTATGTGATGCAAATACAATACTCCAGGGAAGCATCTTTACATGCACAGTTAGCCCAACAGATGCTAGAGGAAGAGCCATTTCACATTGCCCTCTCATGCTTAAGGTAGGCAGCTTGCCCAGCCAAAAAAGCAGCATGCCATTAGCACAGGAGTCCCATATAAGTAGCTCTGTAAAATCCTTCAAGCATCTACTATCCTTCTCCATATAGCTTTGCAGCACATAGGAATATCCCAAACAGTCCACTTCCTACCTTTGAAAGCGATCCCTGCATTGTTAACCAGCACGTTCAGCCCTCCATACTTCTCCTTTAGGAAGTCACGGAGAGCTCTGATGCTCTGCAGATCATCGATATCCAGCTGATGGAAGAGTGCACACAGCCCTTCCTCCTGGAGCTTTGCCACCGCTTTCTGGCCACGGCCAGGGTCTCGGGCTGTCAGGTACACATCCCCTGGGAACTGCTTGCATAGAGCCCGCACAATTGCAAATCCAATCCCTTTGTTGGACCCGGTCACCACAGCCACTGGCACGTTGGACATTGTCCTCTCCGAATGTATGCAAAATTGACAGCAACTGCAAACAACAAAGAAGAAAATTTCACACCCAGATGGACAAAGATGGCTATCTGAAAATGGATTAAAGTGTTTTTTCTTTAAAATCCTATTTAGAATTCTACTTTGAATTATGTAAAACTACATTAGAGTGCACACTAACTGTAACTTACTAAAGTAGCATGAGGTATTTGCAGAGAAACACGTTTGGTGTTTTGTTTTGAAGAAAGCCCAACCAGTGATTGAGTTAAAAAAAAAAAAGTCAATGCCTAATCTTTAGTACTAAATTAACTTTTGATGGGAGTAAGCTCTTCTGCACATACACCGTACAGGAATACCATTTCCTTCTTTTGAGGATATTCAACTGGTTCAGTTCAAGCACTGATGCAGTCAAAGCTGAAAAACTCAGGCTCAAAAAAAGGGGAGGAGTGGCTTGATCTTGCAGTGTCAGGCAGGAGAACCAATTCTAGCGTTTTTAGAGGGAAACAGCGGACCATAGATTGACTACAGACAATGTTTCTTCTGTTTAACACACCAGCCAGCTCTAAATACAAAACCTGCTTGCTGGTTTTCTTTCGCAGACATAGCACATTTAAAGAAGATATATTTCCCCCATAAAAGCGAGCTTAAAACGCTGTTTTTGTTCACTTTCGGCTTAATTGCTATTTGTCTTCCAAATTAGCTTGTAACTTAACCACGAGCAGAGGTTGAAATCTTAACCAGCTCCTAAAAGCCTGCCCAGCTACCGACTGACTTCACCAGGGCCAGGAGCCACCGTCTCAGTTCACCATCAAGGTCTCTTCACCATCAAGGTCTCACCTCGCTGCAAACCGGCACATTTCACTCATTACCACCTCCTCAGAACCGGTTTTTCTTCCTAACGGGAACACAAAGCAAACTCGCGAGCCACGATGAAGCCCGACTCCTCAGGGAACTCCCTGCTCCCCGCGGGACGATCCCGGCCGCTGACGGGCGGCCGGTACGCGCCCCTGCCGCGC